TCGTGGTTATCAACTCATGCTTTTTCTTCAACAACGTTTACTTTCTTTTGTTAGATCAGGAGAAAGTTTCAGACTATGAAATGAAGTTAATGGATTTGGATGTTGAACAACTTGGAATTCCAGTGAGTATCAGTTTCTAATTGTAGTGGTTACTGCACTGAATCATGATAGTTACATAAGATATGTTAATATAATTTAAGGTCTATTTCCTGACAGAACTTTTTCTAGAAATCTATCTACTAATACATGTTTCAAAGAGGGATTTTATTATTTGGCCTGCCATATAAGCTGTGTCAGAAGAAATTTATCAAGGTTAGGTTTATCAAGATCAAAGGAGAGAAGAAATGGTATGTTTAAAATATCCAATATCATGTTTTCTTTCAGAAAGCAATTCAGTCTGTTTGTACCATCATCATTTCTGTGCCATACCCTAATGTCTTCTTGAGTTAGCCCTGTATAGTGCATTGACTATTAAAAGTTTAACCTCTAATTTGTTTTCTTAGGATAATTATTCTTATGAAATACATGTTTTATATCTGCATTTATTTTTTGAGTGGTTGGGGTGTGTTAAGAAATATGTAATTTTGAATGATGTTTTAAAGTAATCAGAAAATCTAAATTCCAAGTTCTCATTTAGATGTTCATTCTTAAGAAAGTGAGGGTGCCAGATCTTTAAATTTCTAGCAATTAACATTTAAAATTTCTTTGTTTTATAGGAACAAGAATACAGCTGTGTAGTAAAGATGCCTTCTGGTGAATTTGCACGTATATGCCGAGATCTCAGTCATATTGGAGATGCTGTTGTAATTTCCTGTGCAAAAGATGGAGTGAAATTTTCTGCAAGTGGAGAACTTGGAAATGGAAACATTAAATTGTCACAGACAAGTAACGTCGATAAAGAGGAGGAAGCTGTAAGTAGGTTTTAAATAAATAGAAAATACTTTGAAGAGACTTGTAATACTGCTTGACATTAGGTTAATTACTAAAAATTAAATAAAAATGGACAAAATTATATCCCAAGTAATTTGTGAAAACTAAAAGATACTATTGAAATCTGCAAGTGATAAGTGCCATCCAATTTAGAAGTGTATCTGTGAGAAGGGAGTACAAATTCAGCTCTTCTACAAACCACAAAACACAATGGGTTTGTAGATCATGCCCAGACATGACCTAAGGATAGGATTGGGAAGGTAGGTGTCTATCCTTTAGCTTTCTAGAGATATTTACTCTGCCTCTACCAAATAATTGAGCACTGGACAGCAACTCAATTGAAGGATAGGGTTAGGGATAAAATTCTAGCTGTTATTAGCTCTAATGTAATCCTTATATTAGCTTTTTGTGTTGTGGTTCCAATCATTAGCCCATCGGTGGAGAAGCCAGTTGAGCAAAGTTAAGTGGCAATTTAACCAAAGTCACAGGCTGTAGGAATCAAGGGTTAAACAGGAGAGTCTCCTCGCTAAGGCTAGAAAGTAGACCTCTTGCAACTTGGTAAGAATTGCACTACGTTAAATACTGATTGGTGTGTAAATACCTAAGCTTTTTCCATTATTTGAAAGGGTGCCTAGAGAGCCCTCATTTAACAAAATGATGAAGAACTGTAATTCCTAAATATCTTTAAGTGAGGATTTTCCTGAAGTCAAGTTCTTTTTTTAATATCCTTAGTATTTATATACTAATACTTGATAATTATAGTAAAATAAAAAAATTTTACTGGCTAGCCTGAGCACCAGTTAAACTTGTAAATCAAGGATAATTAAAAGTCCTAACCTCATAGGGATTATTAGGATTACATAGTGTCTGGCATATTATAAGTTTACAATAAATATTAGATATTATTTTCTCACCCTTTGCATAAGTGGTCAACTCTCAGTTTAAATGAGGGTAAAACTCAGTTGATATAGAGATTTTTTTTAAAAAGCTCAATAACAAAGCCCAGGGACTAATTCTTTATCTGTCTCCTGAATCACATTTCCACTCCCCTGCTAACCTCAGTTTTTTCAAATCTCATTATTTTATCCACAAATATTGTAATAAAGTTCATATATTGAAATTGGTTTATATGGCCCTTAACTTTCTTTCAACCTATTGGTTCCCTCTTTTCCCCGGTGCCACTATAATCTGTTGAAGAAACTAGATCCATGCCTGGATTTTGCTGAGTGTATCCCTGTGTGTCAACACATTCCTGTATACTTCCTGTAAACTGGTAGCTACAGCTCCAGAGGGTCAATGACATTCAGGATGTTTATTTTGGGGGTGGTGAGAGCAAGAATACTTTAGAGGTGGTAGTGTGTACCTCTAGTAGGAGGCACAAGGTGTCTGGGTGTTTTTTGCAATATTAGCTATCATAGTCATTGTCTAGCTCCATTAAGTCATTAGCATTTGCGGAGTTGAAATATATTAATATACTTCATTCTTTCATTTATTAGTTGATTTATTAGAAATATTTCTCTAAAGAGAAGCTGTCCCATATTGCATAATTTGATTACCTCAGGTACAATTTAAATAGGAAAGGCTAAATACTTGGTTCTTTTGCTTTATTTATAGTCTTCAAAATTAGTTTTGTAGCACCCTCCAAAATGACCAATAAAGGTTTTTGGTTTTTAGTATATATTATGAATTCATGGATTATAACTTTTTTTTTTTTTTGAGAGAGAGTCTCGTTCTGTCACCCTGGGTAGAGTACAGTGGTGTCATTGTAGCTCACTGCAACCTCAAATTCCTGGGCTCAAGCGATCCTCTTGCCTTAGCCTCCTGAGTAGCTGGGACTACAGGCCCTCTCCACGACACTGGGCTAATTTTTCTATTTTTAGTAGAGACGGGGTCTTGCTCTTGCTCAGGTTGGTCTGGAACTCAAGCTCAAGCGATCTTCCCACCTCGGCCTCCAGAGTGGACAGGCGTGAGCCACTGTGCCTGGCCTGGATTGTAACTTCTATGATGTTTTTTCAGTGTGACGAATCTTTGCTTTCTCCTGTAGGTTACCATAGAGATGAATGAGCCAGTTCAGCTAACTTTTGCACTGAGGTACCTGAACTTCTTCACAAAAGCCACTCCACTCTCTTCTACAGTAACACTCAGTATGTCTGCAGATGTACCCCTTGGTAAGATAATAAATTCAAACATGTTTTCGTAGGTAGTGTATGTGATACTCCTCAGTAATTACCTATCTTCCTGTTTTCTTTCAGTTGTAGAGTATAAAATTGCTGATATGGGACATTTGAAGTACTACTTGGCTCCCAAAATTGAAGATGAAGAAGGATCTTAGGCATTCTCAAAGTCGAAGAAAATAAAACTAAGCTATTTGAGAACTGCTTCTGAGATTCCAGCATGTACTGAAGCCTTTCCTGTCAGGAAATATTGAGTACATATGTAGATATTTTCTGTAAATAACCTATTTTTCCCCCTCCATTCTCTACAATTTGTTTAAAGAATAAAGTCCAAAGTCAAATCTTGTTAACCTAGAAATATTTTGTCTTACTTAGAAATACTCCTTGTGATTTTTATAATACAAAAGAGTCTTGATTCTAAATGCAGTTTTAAGAATTGTTTTTCAATTTAAATAAAATTACCTGAATTTCAAATATCATAGGGCAGTGCCTTCATTTGGACCATGACTTTTGCAAATATCCTACTGAATTCTCAGCTATAGCTACCCTTTCACATAAATGTGTTTTTCAGTTTAGAGCAGCCTGGTGGAGATAGTAATAAAAAGTATCTCAAATGCCAGATATTTTGAGGGATTCATTTGTCAAACTTATTTTGTTATTCTAATTTGAGCTCAAGTAATGAACGGGGAGAGTAGAGCAAATCCTGTGTATTTCCTCATTTTGTCCTTTTAGTTAGCAAACATTAACACTTTTCAGAAGCTTACTGTACCCAGAATTGTGTGGGCTTCATAAGACTAGCATTGTTATAGTGTCTTAATGTGTCTTTTTAGCCTAGCGAGTCTTTTACAAGACTTGAAGTTTCAGTAGATGTGTGAATAGAGCTCAAGGAGTATGGCTGTGCAGAAATTTCTCTGTTACGAGTATTCTTTTTTGGGACTTCGCTCCCTTAAAGGATGAAGGTGTCTCAAATTCCATGGATGTTGGTTGGATCCAACCAAGAAAGTGAAAAGGCCCTGTAGTTGTGAAGAAAACATTCCCAGGAACTGCTACAAGGTCACTGGCATGTTAATTATTGAGAACTACTTTATTAGAATTTTTTTCCAGATCCCCACATTGCTTATATTTTTTTTCCCAATGTATTTTGTTTGGTAGATAAAATGACTGGTTTCTTTGTTGTATTACTTGGACAGTTCCAGTTATTGTGGATGTTAGAACTGACTATCCAGGAAGTATTCATTACCTACGGCATACCTGCAAGAGGGGAAGAAGAAAGGCTGTAAAGGGGGCTGATGGAACTTTTTGAGGTGACGGAAATATTTTATCTAGCCTGGTGATGGTTCCAGTACTGCATGCGTTTGACAGAACGTCCAGTTGTGTTTTACTGTATGCAAATTATACCTTAATAAACCTAACTTTAAAAAGCTTCACTTGCGGCAAAATGTCCCTGTGGGCAGGCCTTTCTTACCTGGGCAAGGCCTGATGACCAGCAGAGGGAAACAAGCACAAGAATGAGGGGCTACTTCAAGGAATGTAGCGACGGGGTTGAGATCTGGTGGCTCTGCCCAGCTCCGATTCCGCCTCCCGGGTACACTGCGATCCCTACCCCGCCTCAGAGGCGTTAGAGGAGGAACAACGTAGCGGGCTTGCCCTGGGCCTGACTGTGACCCAGGTGGGCGGGGACCCTAAAATACCCGCCCACCAGCCGCAGTGGAGGGGGCTGGTGGCGGGCACAGGTCGGGGCGCCTTCCGAAACGGCGGCGGCAGCGTTCGGACAGAGCCGCCCCAGAGCCCCGACGCCTCCTGCAGGTTCCACTCGCCGGCACTCGCAAAGCGCTAGCACCAGGCGCGTCCAGGAAGTGAATGAGAAGACGTCGCTCTGGGTGACGCAGATTCCGGCGCGCCACTTCCGGCGCTCTAGTCCGTGCTTGGGTGGACTGTGTGGCAGTTAGGTGGGCCGTGCCATGCAGCCTCGGGCTCCTCCGCTGCCAAGCGTGGGCGAGCTCTCGGCTCGCGGGGCACTGGCGCGGCGCTCTGGTAAGGCGTGCGTGCGGCGGGGCGCGAGCGGAAACGCCCTTTTCGGGCTCGGCGTGGCGGAGTCTGCGCTCTCCGCCGAAATCAAGTCGAGTCCTCCGGGTGTAGCGTTCGCCCGTCCAGGCACGGTTGGCCTCTTTCCAGAGATCAGTGTTGTTTGTTTTACGTGCAACTTCGCTTTGGTTCTTATTTCTCTCCCTGGCGAGATCTGGAGACGGGCAGGAAAATAGCGTATGGTGAGGCATGTAATGCCAGGCACTGTGCCAGGCGCTTTACTGATGCTTTCATAATTCTTGCAACATTCAGTTGTGGAGGGAATTTGGGGGTTGCAATGAGCTGGTAAAAAGTCTGTTGGGAAGTTGGACTGATACTTTGAAAATACTCCATCGACTTACATTTTTCCTTTTCTCGTCTTTTAGAATCCTTACTCTTGGCCGGGCGCGGTGGCTCACGCCTGTAATCCTAGCACTCTGGGAGGCCGAGGCGGGCGGATCATTTGACCTCAGGAGTTTGAGACCAGCCTGAGCAAGAGCGACACCCCGTCTCTACTAAAAATAGAAAGAAATGATCTGGACACCTAAAAATATATAGAAAAAATTAGCTGGGCATGGTGGCACGTGCCTGTAGTCCCAGCTACTCGGGAGGCTGAGGCAGAAAGATTGCTTGAGCCCAGGAGTTTGAGGTTGCTGTGAGCTAGGCTGACGCCACGGCACTCTAGCCTGAGCAACAGAGAGGGACTCCGTCTCAAAAAAAAAAAGAATCCTTACTCTTTGCCAGGAATAAGCATTCCTTTCTCCTCTCCCTCATGCCCTGTGATTTTTTTTTTTTAGTTTTGATGCGGGTATATCAATAATTAATGGCAGAGTATGTAATTTTTTTAAAAAATAGTGATAAAAATCAAATATGATTGTCATCAAACCCCCTCACATTGGTAGTTTGAACTTTTAAGTTTTATAAAATTAAATGTAATCTAGATTTCAACACTAAACACCTAGTGTTTGCCACACAAAAGGGTTAGTTTGATCTAACCTTTTTAGAAAAGTACATAGATGAGCATTATTGTAACTTTTTATTTTTATTTATTTATTTATGTATTTATGAATGAATGAATGAGACAGAGTTTCGCTGTGTTGCCTGGGCTAGAGAGCTGTGGCATCAGCCTAGCTCACAGCAACCTCAAACTTCTGGGCTCAAGTGATCCTCCTGCCTCAGCCTCCCAAGTAGCTGGGACTACAGGCAAGAATCACCACACCCAGCTAATTTTTCTATTTTCGTAGAGACAGGGTCTCGATATATTGTGCAGGCTGGTCTCAAACTCCTGGCCTTAAGCGATACTCCTGCCTTGGCCTCCCAAAGTTCTAGGATTACAGGCATGAGCCACCATGGCCAGCTTAAATTTTTTTAATTTAAACATCTTGTTTTTAAATCTTATACACTGTCTCTTAAGCTAGTGACAGAATAGCCATGATTTCATTACTGTTGTCTGCTTTGAATATTTTGGTCAGTAAACGAGATTTTTATTCACTTTTTTGAGGGAGCTACAGAAGTAATTGAAAATGAAATCACTACTACTTTCAGTGCTTGGGATGGGGCAGGGAGACAGGCATTTCTGAAGGCACTGGTATAGTACTGATAGCCAGGTGCTTAGCCAAATTTACAAGAAGTTTCATAGATCTTTTACATTAAAAGGATAATCTCTATCACGGGGAAATAGGCAGAGCACTGATGTGAATGTATTCCCTTCCCTGCCCTCTCCTTCCTCCTTAGCAAATAAGAGAATCACTGTAGTATATGCTGCTCTTTCTTTTTCCTATACAATACTGCATAGGTGTGTCAGGTGGACCTGGATTTAAATCACCACTCTTCCACCTAATCTCTGTGTGATTTTGGAAAAATTAAGAGGCAGGGAACCTTGGTGGCAAGATAAAGTGGGATCTGGTTCTTAGTGTCTTGGCTGTCATTGTACAAGGACAAACCAAAGCAAATACCTAATGAGAAAGTTTTTACTGTGTGAGAGGAATATCTAGATTTAAGAGTAGTGAAGCCTAAATTGCCAGTTGCAAGTATGACATGACAGCCCAGAACTCCAATGCATAATATCTGAGAGTCCTGAACTCATTGGCTTTAATGCACCATTGTCATCTACAGACAATAACAGGGTTTTTTTTGTTTGCAGACTATAGCTGTGTCAGTGTGTTATGATGCCTTCTCGTACTAACCTGGCTACTGGAATCCCCAGCAGTAAAGTGAAATACTCAAGGCTTTCCAGCACAGACGATGGCTACATTGACCTTCAGGTATATGCAGAAAGTAACTGACAAGATGCACTGCATATGTTTCTGTTGTTAGCAGGAAAACCTTCCCAGTGGAGGTTTTGCTAACTGTCCCTGGGGATTAGAGGGGGTAGCAAGAAGTAAACTCAGCTCTGCAACCCTTTCAGCCATAGCTTGCAGAAGAGGACCTTGGCAGGGCAGTTTCAAACCAATTCCAATATTGTCCATTTCTAAGAATTTTTTAGTTATAACACCAGAGTCCTGTAGTTCCAAGTTTTATTTAGTTTATCCAGAAAATAAATCAGATTGTGTTTTGTTAAGCGGAGTTTTTTTAAGGAATTTTAAAATTTTTGCTAAGCAGAATTTTTTGTCACCGGTTTATTTACACTTTAGTCAAAGCCAGTTCATCTTTTAAGGGAGAAACTTACTGCTGAAGCCAGCAGATTGTGGGAATCTTCCTTCTTTCCTGATGTCATGAGATCCAATTTATTAAAGGTATTCTTTGTGACAAACAGTGAGTAAAACAGAATAATAAATTTGTTCCTACCCTTACCATTTACAAAATAGTAATACAGCATCTCCTTTTGCCTGCTTCCCCTTGGAATAGATTATTCTAGGTTGGTCCAGGGCCGAGGAGGAAGTAGCAGGAACCCATCCCTTTAAATATAAATAAATAAATAATTCTTCATACTCTTGGACCTGCATTTGAAGGAGAGATAAAAATAGATCTGGGAAGCTTTCAGCAAGTTAGATCAGATATAGCCATGAGCCAAACCTTAGGTTTGTCTCTGGATCTTAACCTTGAATTGAACTTACTCATAAGGCAGGTTACATGCTCCGTGGAGCAAGCAACTAATGCTTTAGAAAAAGCTGAAATTGTCTGTTTCTAGAACCTTTAAGCATATACTAACTTAACTTTGATTCCAGAAATCACTTATTTTCTTCTCCAAATCATGGTATTCATTCTTAAATCCCCATAGATTAGTACAGCCATCTGTGTGCCAGGCACTTAGTAAATATGTCCAATGGATGAATGACCATCAAGCAGTTTCCGTTTTTGTAAAAAAAAAAAAAAAAATTTCTTATGAACATGGGGTAAGAGTAGAACTAGAAAGGATGACATTCCTCTGGGACCTTTTCGAGTGACTGTTAGAGCAATAACTAGAGCATTGTCTCCTGCCTGTGCCTTTCCTTTCCTTCCCAGAGCTGCACTGGGTGGTAGGACATATTTCAAGACCCAGAAATCATCCAGTTTTTTCCTTAATTATGCTCCCTGTTTTAAAGTATCTGAGCTGTGGTATTTTCATAATGTCCTTCCTTGTCTTTTTTGTTTCTCTTCCAGTTTAAGAAAAGCCCTCCTAAGATTCCTTATAAGGCCATTGCACTTGCCACTGTGCTATTTTTGATTGGCGCCTTTCTCATCATCATAGGCTCTCTCCTGCTGTCGGGCTACATCAGCAAAGGGGTAAGCTGACGTTCATTGGGAATGTGCTGTGAGATCTTTAAAATGTTAGCCAAGGCTCTATTGTTTTTATGTTCATTTCTAGTACAGCAGATTCCAAAAGAAAGATTTCCTTTTATATTATTTTCTCTGATGACAAAACATGTTTTTCTTCCTTTGAGCAACATTAAACTTCCATAGCTCCTATGAGGGTTGTGGGTGCTGGTAGACAAACTTAATCTCTGAGGTACTAGGCAATTTGCCCACTGTCATAGTTTGGAACAGTACAGCTGACGCTGGCATCCAAGATACCCGATTGGTAAAGAGCTGTAGCTGGAGTAATACTGTGTCCTTATAGGTTTGCAACCCACTGGCAAGCGTTTGGAGAGAAACAGTGATTTTTCTATAGGTCTCGGGTCAATGAGCCTCATAAATCAGTCCTTCTCATGTTAGGTTTAGTTGGAGTTTCTGTTGAGCTTCAATGTGATGCCTTAGAAACCTAAGGTTTCTTAGATACCTTAGAACCTAAGGTTCTTTCTCCTGGGCTGTCCCTGTATACAAAGTGTCTGAGTTATCCTGAACTGATTCTGACCATGATTAACATACAGCAGGCTGGGAGATGATGGTCATATCACTCTACAGAGAGAACACTGCCCAGAGCCGAAATTACCGGTATTATCGTTGGAATTGGGAATGGTGTCACAATAAAGTGGCTGCATATGGTTTTTAAGAGGTGTGTCTGATTTGCCTTAGGTTGTAAGCTATTAAAAGCTACTGTATGGCTACCAGAGGCTTTTTTTTTTTTGAGACAGAGTCTCTCTCTGTTGCCCGCGCTAGAGTGCCCTGGCGTCCACCTACCTCACAGCAACCTCAAACTCCTGGGCTCAAGTGATCCTTCTGCTTCAGCTTCCCGAACAGCTGGGACTACAGGCATGCGCCACATGCCCGGCTAATTTTTTCTATATATTTTTAGTTGTCCAAACAATTTCTTTCTATTTTTAGTAGAGACGGGGTCTCGCTCTTGCTCAGGCTGATCTCGAACTCCTGAGCTCAAACAATCCTCCTGCCTCAGCCTCCCAGAGTGCTAGGATTACAGGCGTGAGCCACCGCGCGCAGCCCAGAGGCTTTCATGATGCAGTTAAATTTGGACACCTAACATCAGGACTGTGTCTTCGGTTAACTTTCATTGAATCATGCAGTATTAATCCGAGGGGTACAGTAAGGAGTCTGTTAATGATACAAAAATTGAAAGGTGGCCAGGCATGGTGGCTGACGCCTGTAATCCCAGCACTTGGGGAGGTAGAGATGGGAGGATCACTTGAGGCCAGGAGTTCGAGGCCATCCTGGACAACACCTCTTTTTTAAAAAATCGATTATAGCCCTGACTAAAGCATTATAAAACATATCCACGTAACAAAAACATTTGTACCCCCTTAATATTTTGAAATAAATTTTTTTAAAAAACAGAAATGCAAGTCATACAAAGAATACTGGAGGAAAAAATTGAAAACAGAGGGAGATAAGATTGATGCAACAAATACCATTTCACCTTGTGTAGTTTACAGAAGACTACCTTATAAATATGGATAAAGATATTAAGAAATTAATAAAGAAAATCACTAATAGATTTTGTTTTGTTTTTGGGTTTGGAGTTTTTTACTTTTTATTAACTTTAAATATAAACTCTAAAATACAATATAACTTTATATTTCAAACAGAAGTAGAGGGAATAGTTTAATTACCCCCATGTGTCCACCACCCAGCATCAATAGTTATAAACATTTTGCCAATATTGTTTCATCTATCCACCCAACTTTTGTCCCTATATATTAAATACCAGATTTATATTTTGTTGATAAATTCTTAAGTGTACAATTTCAGTATGCATCTCTAACAGTTTTTACATAACTTTAGTGGCACTGTCTTAATATCATTTGCCTTGTTGTTCCTCTACTCCTTGTATTTCTCGCAAACTTAGATTTAGGGTCTTGCTTAGATTCCGGTTGAGTTTTGTTTGTTTTAGGAAGACTCTTTCCTAAGAGATGTTATGTATTTGCGATAGCACATTGGTTCTCAAACTTAAGCATCAAGCAGAATTACCTGATACATTCATTAACTTATAGATTTTTCTGCCCCACTCCCTGTGATTCCAGTTCTGTAGGTCTAGGGTGGGGCCTGAGAATTTATATATCTAACAAGTTCCCAGGTATTGCCAGAGGTCAGTGGAACACATTTGAAGAACCATTGCTATAGCATTACATTAGGAGGCACATAATGAATGGTTGGTTTTTTTGTTTTTTAAGAGACAAGGTCAGCTGGGCGCAGTGGCTCACACCTGTAATCCTAGCACTCTGGGAGGCTGAGGCAGGAGGATCACTTGAGCCTAGGAGTTTGAGGTTGCTGTGAGCTAGGCTTGCCACGGCACTCTAGCCCAGGCAAGAGAGTGAGACTCTGTTTCAAAAAAAAAAAGACAGGGTCTCACTCTGTCACCTAGGCTGGAGTGCAGTGGTGAGGTCATAGCTCACTGTAATGCGAACTCCTGGGCTCAAGCAATCCTCCCACCTGAGCCTCCCCAGTAGCTGAGACTATAGGTGCATACCACCACACCCGGCTAATTTTTTTTTTTTATGTAGAGACAGGGTCTTACTATGTTGCCTAGGCTGGTCTCGAACTCCTGGCCTCGAGTGGTCCTCTTAGCTCAGCCTCCCAAAATGTTAAGATTACAGGGATGAGCCACCACACCCAGCAGCTTGTCTTAATTTTAAATGATATTAAGATTGAGCACTGGGTTTAGGTATCATCACCCTAATTCATTTATTACGAATGTCCCCATCACCCTTTCCACTAATGAATCTAATTCTCTCAGTTTGTGCATTTATCAACTGAAATTCTCTCACAAGGTATTTTCTCAAATCTACCATTTGGTTACCCTAAAATATAGTGTTTAGTAAAGGTAGGAAAAATGTTTATTTCTCTTTATTTATCAACTTTTTTTTTTTTAGACAGAGTCACTTTGTCATCCTAGGTAGAGTGCAATGGCATGATCCTAGCTCACTGCAGCCTCAAACTCCTGGGCTCAAGCAATCCTCCTGCCTCAGTCTCCCAAGTAGCTGGGACTACAGGTGTGCACCACCACACCCAGCTAATTTTTTCTATTTTAGGTAGAGACAGGTCTCGCTCTTGTTCAGACTGGTCTAGAACTCCTGACCTCAAGCAGTCCTCCCACTTTGGCCTCCCAGAATGCTAGGATTACAGGTGTGAGCCACCGCACCCAGCCTACCAACTTTTGTAAAAATATACCTACTAACCTCCAAAGAATTGTTAGTATCATTTTGAACTTGTCATTTTATTTACATGTTTATGTTTTGATCAGTTACAGTCTGTATTCTTTTTAAAATATAAATTGTCCCATATTTATTCAGGAGGTTCCCCTTCAAGTTACTCCTGTGTCCCTCAAACCTGTAGCCCTTGATAGGGATAGGTTCTGTGCTTTCTGGTATAGGTTATCCCAGGCCCACCTGCATATTTCCTGCCCCCAAAGTAAACAGCTTTTTCTCTAAGGAGCCCTGCTTTCTTTCAGTTGGAAATAGATTTAGAGGTCACAATCTACCCAGATTAGTGATGCTCATTATATTGGGTTGTCATTCTTTCCAGGCCTTTTTAGTGACAGAATCAGGAAATAAATATTTTAAAAAATAAGGGAAAATAATTTCATATAGACATTTCCAATGCTTTTTAAGATTATAGATTTTGAACTTAACATCTTTAATTTTTATGTATGTCAATTCTAATTGTATTGATAAAATTACTTGCCATATTCTACATTGCACATACAATAGCGTCAAAATAACAACAGTATTACTGCTAAGTATAAGAAGGAAAGGCCGGGCGTGGCTCATGCCTGTAATCCTAGCACTCTGGGAGGCTGAGGCAGGAGGATCTCTTTTTTTTTTTTTGAGACAGAGTCTCACTCTGTTGCCCAGGCTAGAGTGCCGTGGCATCAGCCCAGCTCACAGCAACCTCAAACTCCTGGGCTCAAGCAATTCTTCTGCCTCAGCCTCCCAAGTAGCTGGGACCACAGGCATGCACCACCACACCCGGCTAATTTTTTCTATGTATTTTTAGTTGTCTGATTAATTTCTTTCTAATTTTTTTTTTTTAGTAGAGACGGGGTCTCGCTCTTGCTCAGGCTGGTCTCGAACTCCTGAGCTCAAACAATCTGCCCACCTCGGCCTCCCAGAGTGCTAGGATTACAGGCGTGAGCCACCGCGCCGGCCCAGGAGGATCTCTTGAAGCCAGGAGTTCGAGACCAGCCTGAGCAGGAACGAGACCCAGTATCTACTAAAAATAGAAAAATTAGCCAGGCTTGGTGGCTTGGGCCTGAAATCCCAGCTACTCAGGAGGCTGAGGCAGAAGGATCCCCTTGAGCCCAGAAGTTTGAGGTTGCATTGAGCTATGATGATGCCACTGCACTCTACCCAGAGCAACAAAGCGAGACTCTTGTCTCCAAAAAAAAAAAAAAAGAAGAAGGAAGGAATTTAAAAAGGATAAGGCTGCAGACAGGAGTGTTGGCTCATTCCTATAATCCTAGCACTTTGGGAGGCTGAGGCAGAAAGATCACTTGAGGCCAGGAATTCAAGACCAGCCTGGGCAACACAGTAAGACCCTGTCTCTACAAAAAATTAAAAAAGGACAAAAAGCCTGAATGCACTGTAAGTTTTCTTTGCAATTCTTTTAATCCTTAGGATATATTGCATTAGGGATGTACAGTTAAAATCTTACAAAAGATTTAAAAAGTCAAAAATGTAAAATAAGATTACAGAAATAGCACACCAAGTATGTCAGTTGTGAGAGTTGCAGATTTTACTCTTTTTGATGCTCACTTTGTCCATTTTTTACCTGAGAGAGCCCCTTCAAGTTCTCTTCCTTCGGTTTTAAATTCACATTTGAGTCATTGTGTGCTACCTGGGGCCACTTGCTTTACATATGTTACCTCATTTAATTTTCACAATAACCATAAATACTCATTTCTGTTTGTGGTTGAGGCAGCCAAAATTATGTTGATTAGATAACTTATCAATATCCATTGTGTCATCCTTGCTAAAAGTGGATTTTTAGATTGGGTTTAAATCTTTAGATGAGGGAAATCTTCCTAAGCTTAAAAACAATGAAAAAAATCCACAGAGAAAAAGGAGGATGCACTTACATGTATAAGCATTTTAAACTGCATTTTAGAACACAAGGCAAACAAAACAACTTTATAAAGGCATATGCATTCATTCAGCACTCTTACGGATCCTCTAGTTCGTATATGCTGGGTAGAGCTGGGGGTGTAAGGATGACAAAGTCCCTGCCTCATGGACCTCCCCAAAATGTCGAAGCCCTCCTTATAAAGAGCCTACTAAGGAAATAATATGAGAGGCCAAGAAAAACACAGAAATTTATTGTGGTATTCTGTACAATTGCAAAAAGTGAAAAACAACCAAAGTGTCCAACAGCCATGTGGGGGGCCAATCAAGTAGAACTGCAGTACCTCCATTTCAGTGGAATGTTACACACCATTGCAGTTTAAATATGCAAAGAGTTTTTAATAATATTGGCAATTGCTTGTTCTAAAAAAAGATAAACAGGACAAAGAGTATGGTGTATTCACAACTAGGAACTTTTAAAAAGGAGCAAAAGGAAATAAGCCCAAATATCTGTGGTTGAGAATGGATAATTTTTCTTATATATCATTTTTAGTACTTTGTAGTGTTTCTTCAATTTATAATCAGGAGGAAAAGAGATATAAATCTTTTCCCTTAGTAGTGTATTTCCCAAAGAAAATGTTCTGCAAGTGTAAAATACTGATCTGTACGTTGCGTCCATGACTTTTTTTAAAAAAATTCGTAACTTGTATGGTACTAATATGTTTGCCCCCTTCTGCCACCAGGGGGCAGACCGAGCTGTTCCAGTCCTGATCATTGGCATTCTGGTGTTCCTTCCTGGATTTTACCACCTGCGCATTGCCTACTATGCATCCAAAGGCTACCGGGGTTACTCCTATGATGACATTCCAGACTTTGATGACTAGCACCCACCCCAGCCCTGAGGAGAGAAGTCACAATGGACTACACCTAGCTTTGAGATACTGAGCAAAAAGTGTGGCTAAGGGCTAAGGAATTCTACAGTTTGCAATGTTTAACAAAACAATGGCCAGATTATGGGTCCATCCCCAAGATGTTAACTGAGTTTACAATTAGCTAATTAGGACATGCTCTGTTTTTCAGCTCCTGGCCCTGGCAAAGCTCCTGACAAGTTTTTCTGCTGGAATATGTATCATGGAACAATAGCAATGTTAATTGTCTGGGAAAACAGGAGGTTATTCTGTAGTGGAAAGTGTTACTGCCACCACCCTCTTTAGAATTGAGTGTTTCTGTTAAATGGTCTTCATTGTCAATTTGTTCTTGTAGCATATGGAAGAATGCAGGATGTCTAATTTCTTATTACTAAGTAATTTATTTTTAAAATATCTAAGTATCTTATCCCCTATACTTACTTCTACATTCACATTCTAGTGGAAGACCTTGGTAAAATCAAATATCAGTGTGGGTATATCTGTAATATATTTTACTCTCTTATTGACAGCAACCAGGAATTTTTTAAACTGCAGAGCAACTTTTCAAAATGTGAACACTTTCTCTGTTTACCAATCCTTGGCCAGCTCTGAGCTATATCACCAATAGGTTGAACGGCATATAATATGGGTCATTCTGTCCTTTGTAGATCAAGATGTTCTGTATATCATGCCTTTAAGGATGGACTTTTGGCTGTTTCCTAATGAAAAATGTAGATAAGGGTGGTTATTTAGAGTTTATAACCCTATTGCCAGCACCTTGTATTATGTTGTCATTCTGCTAAAGATCACAAGTCTGGTTTGATCCCTAGAGACTAGACTGCCTTAGGCTGATTCTGTTTCCTAGCTTGCAAAAAAGTGACTTGTACTCAAATTAAAATGTTGAAATCCAAATCCTAAACTTAAAATGAGTTAACTTTAAACATTTCCAAAAACATTTCAGTGATCTTATGGTATCTTAAATCCTAGTACCCAGAATTACCTTTGTTTTCAGGTTACTTGCCCTGTGGGTTAGACTCTTCTTTCTAGTCATTCTTTTGCTATGAGGTTGTGGACTTGGGCAGCTAGAAGCTGGACGTGTCATCAGCTGCGATTTGGAAGCTGTGGGTCGAGCAAGTCTTCAAGTGAAGATGAGTTTTGCATGTGTTAAATTTTAGGTGTCTACTTGATATCCAGGTGGAGCTGTTGAGGTAGTTACAGTGCACATTTGTGTCTAGAGTGCAGGAGGGGTTCTAGACTGGAGATAGAAATCTGGGAGTTAGTGTTTGGACAATGTCTTGGGAGCCACAGGGGTAGATGAGAGCACCATGGAGTAAGTGCACATGGAGGAAAAAAGAGGACTCGGCAAACGAGGGACAAAGAGAAGGTGTCCTAAAGCAACTTCTAAGATTAGGCACATTTAGTAATGGGAGGGTAGGCTGGGGTCCAGTATTCTAGGATTCTTGGGCCTTGACAGTGAAGATGTGAGATGATATATAAAGCTTTATCTTGGGCAGTGTTTGCAAAACAAAGCCCAGACCAGGATGTTTCTGCCAAACTAAATCATTTGGTCCTTATAAAGGTAATGCTGCTGGTCAAAAAAAATCAAAGTGGAACAGAAGGGTATAAATGAGAAGTAAAATTTGAGGGGGTGGGGAGTGAACATTTTCTCCCCCAGCTCACCTCCCAAGGTTATCCAAAGTTTCTTGTATATCCTTCCTAAAATGCTCTAAGCCACATAAACATATATATCCATTTTTTTAAAACTTTGGCTCCTGCTGTATGGTTCTATAATTTCTTTTTTTTCCTCCCACTTAGCCGATTTTGTACATCTTTCCATAGTCATGGAGATCAACCACATTTTTTTGTTTTGTTTTTAGCCACATTATTATTTTTTTTCATGATACAAATGATAAATTATATTTATACAGTAAATAAATGTCAACAGTCAACACAAGTTCAAAACCAGCTGCCAGCCCCTGGTGACTTCCTCCCTCATGGTGCCCATCAGGAGGGAGCACAATGGCAGCGGCCGGTGGCTTCATGATCAGTGCATCAGGCAACAGGGACAACGTGCGCTCAGGATGGCCTGTGCCAGGAGCTGGGGTGGAGGCGGTCATGTTGGGGTCTCAAAGTCTTGTCAGCAAGAGTTCTTGTCTGTTACAAAAGAATCACTGACCCCAAGAAGTCGAGTCTGGTCTACTGACCTGTAAGGCTGATCTGGGCCCCACACCATTTGAGGGAAAGCACCTACCTGGGCAAGCACCCTGCTCCTGCGCCCAACCGCGCCTCCCACCCTACCCCGGGCAGGAAGAGACCAGCCACCAGCCTTCCTGAATGGCATCCTCTGGTTCTGGTGGAGGAGTGGCTCCTGGAACAGCACAGATGGGCAATCTTCACGCAGACCCTGCACGTCCTCCTGGTGGCCCAGAGACCCTTGTAGATCTAAATCTCCCCTGTGCCAGTGCGAAGGGTCAGATCTTCAGGAACCAGAGAGGGGCTGGCAGGTGGTCGGCTGCCTTGAGAGCTGGAGGTGGGGAGTCCACACGGTGGAAAACGAGCCAGAAATGCCCGGTAGGTACACTACTGGGACACAGGATTGGGGGAATGTCTCTTTGCTGGGGAAAAGCAAGTCTTTTCTGGTCTTTAATTTGTGACTTAATACTTTTTTTTTTTTCTTTTACAGTGGTGGGTGGGGTGAGAACAGCAGAAGGTTGGAAGGGGGAAGTAATATTAGTTCATGTTTGTTAAAAAATCTTATCCCATGTAAGAATGATTTTTTTCTACATCTCCAAAATGAGAAATGATTATTTTTAAGTCTGCAATTTAAAATCAAAGGAGTTAGCAGGTAGGTGGATCAGGGCCAGCCCTGGTCCCTCACCCCCATCTTAGCTTGGGGACTGTCCCCTGGGGACCTGTGGGCACAGAAGCACCCCCCAACCCCTGGGACAACTGCCATTTCCACATTATCCCCATCTTTAACCTGAGCGTGGACTGAGACAGAGGAGAACAGACACACAGGGTCAAGATGTTTCTTCCATTTCAGACTCCACTGTAAGCAGAAGTCCTCATTAATCCCTGCATGCCTTTAATTCACAAAAGGAATTAGTTGATAAAAATCAGTGAGTCACATTCATAAGTTAGATTTTTTTCTTTAACTTTCAAGATGTTGGTGTATCAGTAAGAAAAATGGCCTCTCTCTCAGGATCTAGCTGAAAAAGGCGAAAGTCAGTCAGTTTAGTAATTCACCAAAAAAGGGAGTTAAAGAAAGGAAAAGGCAACTGGAGGCTAGGACTTTTTGTTGCTGTTGTTTTTTTCTTTAAATAAATATCATCTTTTATGTGTAATCAAATTCCCATATTTTTCCCTATAAAGTATTTGCTTTAGTTTTTCAGCATAAGGTGTTTTTTTGTCATCCAAACATCTTTTTAAATTTTTCTTACAGAGTTAAAACCTTAAATAAGAGAATTTAAACCACTAAAATGACACATGCCAATATCTTAATTCAGCTGGACCTGGTAAATTCTATCAAAACTAGACAGTTAAATAAGAACCACGTTATAAAAATGTTAGCCAAAAAAAGACTATTAGATAATTTTGCAAATTCAAATATGAAACTGTACTAAACAAAATACGTGCAAACGTATATAAGCATAGAGCCATGTGGCAGGGTTATGCTCAGATTAGTTTTAAAGCTCGCTCTAGTGGATTTAATTCAAGAGTTGTCTACGGTGGTGGTTACTTTGAACTCACACACAAGTCAAAGAAAAATAAAATATGCACAACCACTTCCACAAAAGGTCAGTGTCTCATGGAGCCAGTGCTTCATCCCATCCACACCTGGGACTGCCTAGGCTGTCCCCAGGGCTAGGGGCAAAGACTAGGAGACCGTCCCAAGTCCTGGGCCAGGCAACGTCCCAGAGACTCTCGGGCTGAGGCTGACAACTCCACCTCCTCGTCCAAGGCCTCAGAGGAGCCCTGACAGGACCTGCGCGCTTGCTTGGGAAGAGGTGGCCAGAGCAGGCCAGGCTGGGGCAGGTGAATGGGCCTGCCTCGGAAGGCGAGGACCTCATGTGACACTCTAAGTCTGAGGGTCGGGCTGTAAAAACAACCCTTTTATCAGGAAGCTGGAACTGAAAAGCCCTAACACCACCCACCCCAAACTCTGAGGGCCCATCCCACAAACGAGAGTACCTGCTCGGCGTCCTCTGGCACAGGTGCTCTGGACGTCCCTCTGGGGTAGGTCCCAGGCCCGGGGCACTAGAGAAGGAAAGGGTTGGTTGTGCCGGTGACCTGAGCTGTCAATAGGGAGATACCCACACTGCCCACCATGTTCATCGTTGTGGGGCCCGGTGGTGTCAGAGAAGAACCACTGGCCCACAGAGCTGAGTGTAGGGCCGTGGAGGTCATGGAAGCCAGAGCCATGGGCTTCACCCCAGGCCAGGCCGGAAAGACATGCTGGTGCCCAGGACGGGGCTGCCCCGCAGCTGGTTCAGTGTCAGTGGCTGGGGCTGGTTCACCTGGAAGGGGTTGATGGGCCGAGACAGCGGCTGCACCTGGTGCCAGGAAAGGGTTGAACGACTGGGCTGGCGGGGCGGGCATGGTCACCAGTGAGTCCAGGTTTACGAGGGCCACGGGGCCCAGAAAGGACTCAGGTGTTTTCCGGGCACTGCTGGGCTCGCTCGAGGCAATGGTCAGCGGTTGAGACTCAAAGGGGTCAGGGCTTGTGGTTCCATTGTTTTGGGATGGCAGTGAGGCCACAGATTCAGCTGTTTTTTTTGAAGTTTGGAGGTTGTCAAATTCAGAAAAGTTGTTTTTAATTGTACCATTCAGATTACTGAAGAGCTCAAAAGACTCAGAGGCAGATACTGGCTTGGCGGCCGAGACTTCGCCCCCAGTGTCAGAAGTTATTTTCCCAGCACTGGGGGCAGGCTGCTGTGAAGCAGCCCAGGGGTCTGAGCTCTTAGGGACAGAGTGTGTGCTGGCTCCGGGAGGCACTCCCCATGGGTCGATGGAGGCAGCTGGCTTGGCACCAAACAGTGGCCAGGGATCCGAAGTGCTCTCGGGAGCCACTGGCCTGCCCCAGGGGTTGGTCTGGTTAGCCAAGGCTGATGGGCCCCAGGGCTCTGCTTTCTGGGCAGCAGGGCCTGAGCTGGGGAGAGCATCCATTAAATCCAACAGGGTGGTCTGCTGTGGGTGGGAGCCATGCTCTTTTTTTTTGGAACTTTAACTGTGTCCCTTCGGCTTTCCTCTATGGCCATCTGCAATCTGAGGTCATCACCCCGCCTGAGGCGTTCTTCCTGCTCCGCCACTTCTCTGCTCCTGGCAAGTGCCAGCTGCAGCTGACGCTCTTCTTCTCCGCTAGTCTGGGGCCGGGCTTGCTCCAGCTCAGAGGACACCCTCGGGGAGGTGGAGCCATGGTAGGAGGCTGGTGATCCCCCAGCCTTGCCATACTCCTGCTCCAAGTAGCTGGTGCAGAGGCTGGGCTGGCTGGAGCCACGCCTGAAGGTGATCTGGTTGCTGCCCATATGGGTGGCAACCTGGGCCATGCGCTCTTTGGTCTTGGGAGCCTGGGCCCTCTCGGCCTTCAGCTGCTCCTGGTCCTTGAGAAGGGCCACCAGTTGCTTTACTTCTCACGCACGTTGATGCCCTGGTCCTTGCCGTCACGGTCAATGTACTGGAAGTCCTTCAGGGTCTGGATGGCAAAGATATTCTCTCAGCACTGCTGGGCCACCCGCTCAGACCCGGTCTTGATGAGATAGTCCAGCAGCGTCAGTGCCTTGTACACGTGCTGCCAGTTCTTGCCATGGTCGTTGAGCCGCTTCCACACCATGCTCATGATCTCCGAGAAGGCCACCACATTGTAGGTCATGTCAGTGATCTCGGTCATCAGAGAGCTGGACGGGCCCCATGGGTCGTTGGAAGTGGCTTCCCAAACTTTGATTTCAGCCTGAGTAATGGTTCACAATGTTTCTCATCTGCCATCTGATAGACGTCGTCATTTTTTTTCTTTGTTACAAACTTAAAGCCCTTCAAAGACAGAAACTTTCCTGACCTCGTTAAGTCTGCACCCTCTGAAGGTTCAGTTTCTATAATCAATCTAGAGCAAGATCCCTCAACAGTCATTTCCTCCTCTGGAGCCCGAGATCCGAGAAGCTGGAAACCATGACCGGGCTAGAGTGAGGTCCATGTCTGTGACACTGGGCTCTGGTCCACACGGTTGGTGACCTCCATCTGTCTCATCACTAATGAGCAGCCAGCACCTAGCACTGTGCCCAGCTTGAAAATAAATACTCCGCTCCTCCGGGCCGGGCCGCCGGTAGCGCCGGGGAGGCAGGAGCTACGGGAGACCGCGGAGCCGCCGCCGCGTCTGCCTCCGTCTGACACCCACACACCAGCCAACCTGGCGGCCGGAAGGGGGCGCGCCTGCTGCGTGCGCGCGCCCGCCCGCCGGCCTGTTTTTAGCCATATTATTATTTTTATTTATTTATTTTTTTTGAGACAGAGTCTGGCTCTGTTGCCCTGGCTAGAGTGTCGTGGCGTCAGCCCAGCTCACAGCAACCTCAAACTCCTGAGCTCAAGCGATCCTCCTGCCTCAGCCTCCCGAGTAGCTGGGACCACAGGCATGTGCCACCATGCCCGGCTAATTTTTTTCTCTCTCTATATATTTAGTTGTCCAGATAATTTCTTTCTATTTTTAGTAGAGACGGGGTCTCGCTCTTGCTCAGGCT